GAGAGGCACAAGAAGGTACACATAGATACTTCCTTATTGCCCATAAATCTGTACTTATTACAACTGTAAACTCTGGAATGTAGTTTTATGACTCCCATTTCACTGAAAACTATATAGGCTATTACTGATGCTAGACATTTGAATAAGAGCAATTTTGAATTTTGGGTTTGATTGCTTTTAATTGTGAATTATGCTGAAGCTGCTGTAGTCGTTATCTTAAAAACTATTTAATTAAATGTAAGTATCCAGCTGTGTGTATTTTCGAAGAGCCAAAATGCTCTAGGATCTTGAACAGAACAGCAATCTCTCTCTCTCTATGTATCACAGGGTTTGCAAAAACCTTCCCTTCTCAGTTTTCTTAGAATTTCCTTACTTTGGGATGTTTCATTTGCAGCCTTAATGATTGGTTTATTCTCTGTTTGTTGTGTGTAATTTGAATTTTTGAAATAATAAGCAGAAATTAAGGACAGGACTCATCTAGCAGGATCAATATGCAAAGTGTCCTGGACAGAGAGGTTTGGAGACTTGAATCCTGTTCCACCCCAGCTACCAAAGAGGAACAAATCCAACATGCCCTGACTCTTCTGTCCACTGCCACCAAATGTAAGCCTTTTTTTTCCCTCTTGATTTTTCTTCTTCAGTCCATCACAGTCCTAATTACATTTCTTCCCCTCTGAGAGATCGTTGTCGTCCTTCCATTTTCACTCCAGTCCCCATCTTTGTGCCGGATCGATACCAGATCTCTATCCAAGCTGCTCTCCTCTCACTCTCTCTTTTGTTTATTGTTTTTTTGTTTGGTTTTTTTTTTTTCCCCACAATTCTTCCCTATCTTTCCTGTCTGAACTTCTTTCTTTCCCTGGCCACCTTTTAACTCATGTCTTCTCTCTTGGGTTTCTCATTTGTCAGTGTCCTCAATCTTTCTTTTTCTGCCAGTCTCCGGGATGAGCTTATCTCCTCTCTCGCCTCCCTTCCCCTACCTAATTTCTCAGGATATCTGTCTCTTGATTGCCCCTCTTTTTCCCCATACCAGTGGCATCCAGCCTCTTAACTCAGCCAGTCCCTGTTCCCCTCCTATATTCATGTATGAATCTGTGCCCCCTCGGATGTGCGAATCTTCAAGCCGGTTACACAAACCAGCAAGAGTTCAGCTAAGGCTTCTGCCCAGACTTCAGGCATGCCTCTGAGTTAATGACTTGAGTTAAAGAATCAGCATTAACTTTGAATTTTCTGGCTTTTGACTTTTCGTTTCACAGCTTGATGTTTTTGTAATGCTTTGTTTTTCTGGTACTTCAAAAAAACAGATGGGGAATAATGTCACAGCAGAATGCATAATCCTGGCTTTGGCAAGTCTGCCGCCCCATTACCACAGCCCTCCGGGGCTGGTTAATGGTGTTGTCCTCGGTCGTCCTGCAGCGTTGCCCCTCCTGGGGCCACGTGCCAGAAAAACCATCATTTGGTGTCTCATCCTGAAGCCAGCTTGGCCACCTTGGATAGGTGCCACCATGGGTAGGTGGTAGCCGTAGACAGGCCTCTTGGCGGAGAACACGTGGCCTGCCAATGGTGCCAAGGAACAGCAATAAAAAAGCCAAAAAACTAAGGTGACACACTGAAAGATGGCCAACAGAGAAGGTTCAGCCCATGGGCAGAGCAGAGAATTGATTCACTAAACTCCTACATGCATCTCGCGATTTTCTGCAATGCTTTAACAGAAACCAGAAACTACAGTGACAGATAATTTAAAGGTATCAATAGACAGTCATACTCCAGTCTCCTGAATCCCAAATCTTTTCCATAGTCACATGATCACTCTGTCCCTCCCCAGCTACATAATATGCTTAATCCTTGTGATATTACACACGTCTTCTCCAAACTGTGACAGATTGGGGCCGTGCAAACCATTTCAAAGGTATAATGCAACTTAATATAGTCTAGGAATGATTTCAAGGAATTACATACATGGATGTACATTTACATAAAGGCTTGTTTTTAGTGAGCAGTGGAGATTTACTGAAGGGATGTAGCTCTGATAGGCACCACTGGAGCACTATGCACTGTATCTCACAGGTCAACAGGAGGTTGTGTAGCTCCCCCATATCCACATCCCATCTCAGCTGCCTACAGGAAACAAATGGAATTAAAGATGCTTGATTTGAACTGAATGCCATCATCTGGATGTTTAAAATGGAATGGAATCAATTTGATCTGAAAAAATATATGATAACGTAATTGGGGGTTAAAGTGTTATCGGATTTTCCTGAAATGCAATTAGAGAGATACCATTCATGTTGTGAACAGCACACCTTTAATCTTAAACTATTTCAGAAGATCCATTTGTGTGGTTTTTCGCTCTGCATTTGCAGGAAAGTTCCAGCCTAGGTTAATAATATAGCGGCAGTACTTCACAATGCTCTCCAACGTACAGAAGTAGTTATTAAACTGTCAACAGCACTAAAAGATGATATTTTGATGGCAATGGATAGGAACCCCATCTTCCTGCTCATGCTACTTAATGTTTCTGTAGCTTTCAAGCACAGTCAACCGTAATTTGTCACTGACTTGCATACGTGACATTGGCTGAATAGGTAGTCTGAGCTACAACTGTGTCAATCAATTTTTCAGGCAAAACTCACATAGCATCAATAGACAGCTATTCCTTTTTCTTTCTCTATACGTCTCGCACTCATTCCTGTTCACCATCTACCTGGAGACCTCTAGAGAAGTTGCAGGACATGCCAACTTTACTGCTGAAGCTGTTCTGCTGATATCGACCTGCATAATCCCCTTCCACAGCTGCGGCCAGAGATATCATTATATATACAGAATGAAGGGCAAATTCGGTCTCAGTACACCCTGCGAGGAAATGTATCCAAGGACTGAGCTGGCCTGTATAAGTCTGGCTATCTTCTCCCTTTCTGCCTAACCTTTATCCTGAAGGACATAGTCAACATTTAGTGCAGGTGAAGAAATAGCATTATTTCAGGTGAAAACCTATCTTTTGGCTATTGTTAGAAGTCCATCATAGGAGGGGGTGACCTCAGCAGTGATCTCTGTAATCACCACCTTGAAACCCTCCCGCACCTCCAATCTGGAAGAAACAGCAAATTCTGGTTTGTGCCAAAATCTAGCAGATTGTCACAAGCTCTTCTGTCCCTGCTGCAGTTTTAAGCTGGTGAACAAAGTCTTAAAAGTCATTCAACCCCATCTACATCAAACACTGAATGAAGTTATGCTTTTCTCAGTCTAAAACAGTCTAGAATAAGGATCTTAGAGGCAGAAATAAGCTTTACTTATAAGTTCTCAGGAAAAATCAGATTATTTCATGTTCTTGTGCTCCAAGTTGTTTTTCTTTCTTGACTTAACTGGAATGATGAGAAAATGGCAGGAGGAAAAATGCATCCGCCTGGGTTGTTCTAGAAAGGCTCCACAGCAAACATTATGAAATCTGCCATGAAATGTTCATCAGCCTAATTTGCATTACGATGTAATGGCTCTCTGGATGAAATCTGGAAATCATTGCAAGATTTTTTGATTTAAAGATTACCAAAATCTCTATATACCACCGATAGGAAGATATGTACTGTAGACTTCAGTCAACTACGTGAACACAATACAATGCTAGAAGGATTTTAAGGAATTTATTCTTATGTTCTCTACATTTCAGGTCTTTAAACCTGTTCTGAGTCCAGTAACATTTTGTTGTTTGTTTGGCAAAAGTATACCTTCTAGAAAGGTATCTAGGAAATGTAGAGGTCACCAGTGTGCTCAGTAGATTTTTGTAGCAGGCAATCACCTTCTCCATTAGAAATATGAACCTCAGAAGGACTTCTGTCCAAGGTATTTTCTCCTTCTAAAGCCCTTTGTACGCTGTAGTCAAGTGAACTCTCAATACCCTTTTTGACAGCAAACCAGCTTGAATCATGTATTTTTAAGACCTTTTTCCTTAGCAAGTTCAATTAATTTCTGCAGTGATTTTCTACGCTCTCTTGTTTGCCAGTGTCCTATTTAGAATATGGATAGCAAAACTAATACAATATTCCAGTGCTGCTCTTGGCAGTATCAGAGAAAATGATAAAAAGATCTGTGTTTATACATCCCAATAATGCATTATAAAACTACATAGGTAATTGATTAAAAAATTCTTCATAGTGTTCAATTGTTAGTTTTGTGATAAATTAATCAGAATTATTATTTTATTGTTTTTATTTTCAGTTATTGTAGATTTCTAGATGGCAAACATTGAGGAAAATAATGTTACTACTGCTAATAATTTTAAAAACTTTAAATAAAAATTAAAATATCACATTGAAAGATATCACCTTCAAAATCTTCTTTTAAAAATAACACTGCCATGTATGACTATTTTTTTTAAAAAGTGAATTATAAATTTGCTGATTTTCATTGCAGATTTTTTTCCATATCTTGTACTTAGAACACAAACATTTTGGAAGCCAGGTGTTAGCTATGTAACAATCTAAGAGGCCATTACAGAAATATGCGCAAAACCACGTGCGAGCAGCATACTTGGAGATTTCCTCTTAACTTTGCTCAAGAAGCACTCGGAAACAAAGAGCCCAGCTTCAATATTTAAGTCAAGAAAATGAAACATTCATGTGCTGTAGCTAGATGATGTTGTTGTAGCCAAACAACCCACACCTGCCTAAGGTTGAGGATGCACAGCTGAATTTACATTCTGGCCATAAAACCTGCATTTAGGGACACAAATTCTAACCAATCAGACTAAATACATCAGCAGGCCCAGGTTTTATCATCACAGATAACCCTCATTAATCCGGCAAGCTTTTCCTGAAGACAAAGGACAAAATGAATTGCTTCATTGGAGTTGCCTGAGCAGCATGCTAATGCGGGGAGGTGGAAGGCATGAATTATTCATGCCTTGGCAGCCCGAGCAGGCAGATCCTGGTTTTTCCTGTTACCATTGCAACAAGTGGCGGCTGGCCCGGCTGTGCTCGGGCCATCGCCCGTCCCCGCAGAGCACCGAAATGCCTTCTGGAGAGGGACGACCTCCATCCCTCTGCTGCGCCCGACGCAGTCGAGTGGATTTTCAGGCTAAGCCTTACGCAAAATGGACCCCGGAAACACAGTCTTTTGTAACTCAAATGTGCTTGACCATAAACTACTCTTCTTGGAAGAAAACAGGTTGCTTTGGTAAGTTTGTGCAACTTTTGATGTTTTCTGAACCTCCTGTAAGCTCTTTTCAGTTTACTGTAACTATAATGTGCAGTGTTTTACCAGACTTTCTAAATATGTTCTGTGTTCTTTTTGCTTTTGAAATGACTTAAAGAAGCATAAAAAGCCATGCAATATCTTTATTTTTAACTCTAGAAAATACATAAACAGTATATGCAGAACTGACACTAAAGTTACTATCAAGCCTTCTTAAATTGACTTGTATTATTTAAATTTTCAAATCCCTGTAACACACTACTAAAAGAAAATATATAATATATTTGTGATCCAAGTCCCTTTTCTTGTAACCGAAACTGAGACTAATGTAATTCAGCGTCAAACTGGATAATCTGTAAGAACGTGTGTGATTTTTTCATAAGAAATGTTGGTTCCCTGTTGTAAGTGTAACTTGTGTTGTTGCTCTTTATTCAGCTAAATACATTTCTGATTAGGTTGGGAACGGGAACTGAGACCTGCATAACATTCTTACCATGCATTAACTATTCTGTTGTGTCATAAAATAGTTGAAAAGCATTGGTAACTTACCCAATTTTTCTAAAGATAGGAAGGAGATATGTTTTGTATGTAAAGCATATGGCAGTGATGAACTAAGGCTAGACTTATCACTTGTTTATAAGGTGCAAAGCATCACAATGTTTATTATTTGTTACCAGTATACCTATCTAAAATACTTATCTCAATTGTTTGTCTGATTTTTCTTATTTTCCAGTAGTGATGCTATCAGCTTTGCCTGAGAACTCTCAGGTAACTCACTACTTGGCACAGTTAAAAAATTGGTATAAATAGTCAGCTCCCAAGAGCAGAGGCCATGGATAGGAACATGAATATGAAATGAATCATGAATAAGTTTTGATTGTGGATAACGAGCTCTCCCTCTTTTTATTTGTTGTTTTTTAATTACATGGTCCAGATTCTGCTGCTTCTACTTTATTTGTTTTGATCATAAAAGCATTTTACTTGACATCCAAAAGACAGCCAAATTTTGAAGGGATAAAAGTACAGCATAATGATATCTAGTGCTAACAGTAATTAAATGCCCTATGTTGTCAGAAAAAAAACAAGAGGTGAAAATAAGGATATGTAAATAACAGGAGATATGCAATCAATGGATGTAATTCTGCACTCCTTAATCATGGGAGTAATCCTTATTCATGTAAGTAATCCTGTTGGTTTCAATAGACTCACGTCGGTAGGTACTGTAGCGTAAGGCCCATATTTTTCAAGGAGATAACAGTGTCTGTTTTACCTGTTTTTTCTGTAATGTAATTTTAGCAACACAGTTTTTAGCGATGTGTTTGAATGCATTAGTGATAGTGTTAAATTAGACTTTACCGAACGTCTATTTTGCTTCTAAAAGTATAAAAGAGAAAAATGGAATAATGTATTAGATGTGTCGGTAAGAAGGTACAAACCCCACATATTTTGTTAGAGGTGTGCTTGCAGTGGAATAGCACTACTCACCCTGTTGACTGTGTTCATAGATTACTTTTTGGTACATGAAGTGTATAAACTTTGCTCCTTTTAGGATAGGATGCAACTTCAGCAAAAAAATCACTGTGATGCCTGAGGTCTCATAAGGTACATTTGGGTCTCCATAAAAGTGATGTTGATAAATATTGTTCATCTTTCTGACTTAAATACATGGGGTTTGTGGTAATGTCTTGTGAATATTTTTATTGCTGTTATGGTCTCTGATCTTGCCAAAATAACACCTGTGGTTCCGCCTTGGGAATAACGCGTTTGTATAAATGTTGTGGTTGTGTTTCCCTTTCCTCATCAGGCCAGCTTGGCCCTTCTGAGCTTTCCACTCCAAGCCTATGGAGTGCTGCCTTGTAATCCAGGAAGGGGCTTGGGAGCACCTGTGTGCCCTTCCCCAGGCAGTGCATCTGTTAACGAGGGAAAACTAATTACTTAAAAGCTTCTGGTACAATGGGGTTGAGTAGTATAAATAGTCATGAACTGTTCCTGGTGCTCTGCAAGCCGTGAACCTGCGTTCATGCTGGATGCCAGCAGTGGTAGTGTAGATATGAACGTTACCTTATAACCATTGAAGTCGTATCTGTGTTAAGATGCTTCCTCTGTGGAAATATTCTCTTGTGTGCACCCTGAAGGGGCCAAAATAGAAATGAAGTAAAAATACAGTAGAAGATGGTTCCAGATGGTATACAAAACTTAAGTGAAGTTGGTAGTAAGTACCTGTTGGCTTTTTGTTGGTTGCACTGAGATATTGAGAATTGAACTGCTTGTTCTTTAATCAGCTTCGTTACACGGCAAAGATTTTGGTGGTTTCTGTTTGCCGATGAGGTATACAATATTGTTAGTATCTATTTGCACAAAGATATCATATAGAGGGGCTACATCACTCTTACGGACAGTAGAGCGCTGGAGGCAATAAAACGAGCAGTGCCAAGAGGCTGGAAGGGCAGACAGGGGGCTGTGGCCGGGGGAGAGACTGGGGCGGCCCTCGGCAGCAGCATTTCTTTCGCTGACTCCCTGCAGGAGCATTAAGTCTCTCCAGGTAAGCCCCTTTCTGCCCCTGGCCTCTACCCATCAGGGTCAATTCCTAATCCTTGGAGAACCCCACAAGCATTGGTTGCACGTTAACTTGAACTTTATAACCACGGTTTTGAGAGTACTTTTTTCTACATCTGTTCTCCTTTGTTGAATTATTTTTAAAAAAAAAAAGTCACACGCAGCTATTTTTGTTTAAGTACCCCCTTCTGGCAATGAGCAGAGGTCAGGTGCCTGTTTTAATTTTTACTACCTGTTGCAAATTTTAGAGGTGGCTGTTCGTGCAAATTTATTGAAAAGTTTTTAAAACTGGGCCAAAAAAGTGCTGTAGAATGGTTCAGCTAATTTTGTATTAAAAATCATGTCTGTGGTGGTTTGGAGCAGCCTGTTTTATTTTCTTTCTGCATAGAAGCTAGGTACAACAAGAGGTGTTTTTGGTAATCACTGACGTGTCATTCTCAGCTCTGTCTGCATCAGAGGATGTCCGTGTCTCCCTGCTTCCCACCCAAGGCAGAGGGCAGGGGGATGTGTTGTCTCCACTATTTCCCGAGGTTAGAAGCTCTGTGAGAGCAAAGCTATGAGTGTGCACGCTGCGAGTGATGGTAAGAGCAGGTTCTTTGTGGTTTGGGAGCATTCCCTCCTTTGTGTAAGATGTGTTTTGCTCCTCTTTGGGGTTGGTGACACAAAGGCAGTGCTGTTCTGCCTGGCTGCGGGCATCGCTATGGTTGATGGACTTTGCTGCATCAGTGTGGAAGCGTGCTGAGGTTTCATACTTAGGTTTTCCATGGCAAAGCTTGCATAAATAGTAGTTACGCCGAGCTAAGATACTTGAACAACACCAACCTCCAGTTCTAAGCCCAAGTAGTACACGAAATAAAAGGCAAGTTTTAAAGTACGGGTACAGGACACTTTCTAGCTGTTGTTTTGCAGCTGTCTGGGAGCCTGTTGGCAGAGAAAGCGGAAAGACTGGAAAAGCCAGCGTGCAGATTGGGCAAGGTCTGGGAGCGTGGCCCTGGGAAAACCAAGCAGTGGCTCAACCTCAACCGCTTACTTTACTGGTCCTCTAGCTTACAGCCACGTAGCAAACGTCAGCTAACGTCAGCACGATGTGATCGCTGGCTGCAGAGCAGAGCCTGGAGCAGGGGACGCGTCCCGGAGTCCAACATGCCCTTGTGATGGGACTTGCCTTATTTGCTGTATGTAGTACCTTGGGGACAGCAGTGCCACAGGCGTGACCAGGGAACAGTCTCCAGCAGAAGGGAACCACAGGACATTGTGGGTGACTCAGTTTGGTTTTTAATCTTAACAAAAGACTAAACCAATATAAATACCTTAACTCTATGCTTATTAGTAGCTGCCTAGTGGTTTCTAAGTGGAAGAGCTGAGCTGGTATGACTATATGTATTAAGTACGACAGCAGCGCAGATAAAACTGCAACACATGTGAACTTTTTAAAATAATGGTTTTCACTTGTTCTCCATGTGTTCCTTTGCTGTAAATCCTGTTCTGTGTCTGAGAGCAGCCAGGCCCAGAGGAGCACCAGTCCTTACCCTCTTTGCGGTCCAGCCCAACCCCAAGCTAGTATCTCCCCAGGGCATGTTTCAAGAATGTTCTTTTCGTACAACATCGCTCTTGTTTCATGTGACATTTCTGTCTATGTACCCTCCAGAGAAGGAGAGGTTAGCAGAGGACAGTCACGCTCAATCCTGTGTGTGTGGTCCCAGGCCCAAATCTGTCTCAGACTTCCATGGGTGATGTGCAACATGCATTAATCATGGTTGTGTGACGGTGTAACATGCCAGCTTGAACCTGACAGTTCACCAGGAGCAACTGGGAAAACTCAGTGTAAACTACTGTTGGGCATATGGCAATGACCACTATCCACTTTGAACATTCATAATCTTTCCTCTACTCCCTGCAAAGTATGTGCAGCCTCTCACTGAGTGCTGTATCCTGACCTGTTGATGGTCTGTTACCATTAATAATTAGGATCCTCCATAGGGATGTATCACAAACAACTAAAAATATCTTTGCTGCCTTTTATATAAACCTTTCCTGATGATTAATGACCATCAGTATGGGCTTTATAAAGGACAGAGGATGTAATGATGCAGAACAAACATACAATAAACAGTGACAAAATTAGCTATTGCCAGTTATTTTGGCCATCTTTTGGAAGATGAAGAATTGAATCAAAAGAATATAGATACGATTTCCCTTGTACCTGTAGTATAGCCCACGATAAACATATGGGGGGAAAAAAAGAAGTGTTTTTAACAGCAGAAGACTGAGCAGAAGGCAATGCTAGCTGCAGTCTTCGTGGGTGGTGTGGAGCACTTCTGGGAGTGTTTCAAATCTATCTGTTTGAATTTCTTTGATTGCATTTATTTTTCTATTTCTATTGATCTAGACTTCTAGTGTATCCTAGAGCTGCATACATGTAAAAT